AGACAGTGACGAGGCAGTCACGTGTTTGGGTTTACAACCAATGAGAAGGCAGAACAATAATACTATAAAAAAGACGTACAGACAGGATATAGCTCTCTTTCGGGAAGCTGGGACACCGCAGGCGGAAGGGTGAGATTTTAGCTCTAAGCTCTGACCTCTCGGCTTTCTCTTTTACATTGTTTCTGTGTTTCTTATTTAATAAGACTGTTGATTACATCAACAGAGCAATTTTGAGATGACTAGCTGAGATGATCCAGTCTCAAAAACTACTTAAATCAGGAGTTGAGATAAACCCTGAACTTTGGCATTATACACAGACTGGATAATGAAGGATATAGTTACCTTTCCTAGAATTTGACAATTAACCTAAAATATTTCTTTCAGGATAAAGATAACTTTGCCCATACCCAGCAGGAAGCAATTTTAAAAATACGACACCCACATTCCCAAAGAGGTGGTGTGGGGAGGGTGGTTTTTTGGTCTTTTTAATGGGTTTTTGGTCTGGGATAATTTTCAGTATTTAGGGGGGTTGGTTACAAGTTGTTGACAAGGGTTAGGAAAAAGGCTAAGCAAAGGAGATTAGATTTAAGGTTCTTGTTTTAAAAAAAAAAGAAAGAAAGAAAGAAAAGAAAAAGACAATTACTAGTTTTAAATACTTTACATTGGATTGGATTGTTTTATATTGTATACAAATTTGAAATTGATATTGTTAGACAATGCTATATGTATATTTCTAATTGTATTTATACAATTCATTTAACAATGTAATGCAATTTCTGATCCTTGAACGTTATTATTACCAACTATTTGGATATAAAGAAATGAAATTTGTAGTTTTATATTACAATAGACTTGTAGTCATATTAGTTATGTTTTAAAAATTGAGCAGAGATATTTTAGACAGGTCATCTTCAAACCCTTCAGACATCTACAGAATATTGCATTTAAAATGTTTTAATAACTTAGAAATATTTCTTTCTTGAGACATGTCAGCTCCTGGCAGTACCAATTTACTTCAGAGAAAATATGGGCATTGAAGAAACTGCATATGGAGTTAACTTTCATTGTGGCAAAAGTTAGCCACTGGACAACAAAGCATCCTCAAATCAACTGCTGACAAACAGGACAAAGAGAACATGAAACAAAGGACTACTGATTCTTGCCAAAACAAGTGTGGTTATGGCTTCATTAAAAGGCATCTTCTGAGGCCAGGACAATATGGCCCCATCCCTGAAGTGGCCTTCACAATACGGAAAAGGTACAGTGGCCATTTCTTCGAAGGCAGCTTAACAGGCAGAGGGTCGATGGCTTCTGTTGTGCAATGGAACAGCAGCTGAAAGCTCACGCCTCTCAATAGTAGACTGGCATTTAATAGAGGGATGTGGAGAAGAAGGGGATGCTGAGATGAAGCCATATATACACAGCCAAGAAGAATGAACAGCTGAATTAAAAAACCGTCAACAATTTCCAAAATTTAAAATCCTGAATCATGACAGGACACTAGTGGAATTCAGGTGTTTCTGGTACATGGACTGCTCTCATCCAATGTGAGGTTGAACTGTTGACCTTGTGTACATCCTACTTCACAAAATTGTCTGTCAGATACGCTAAGCCTATAGGCTGAAGATGATGCCCCAACACTGCAGAGAAACCTCAGGTGACTGTCCAGGCAACTGGCTGTTTCTGTCAACTCACAAAGTTTTTGGATGTTGCTTGCATGCACTTCCTGTTTTTTATTTTTGTTAGCTAATATTATTTCCTTCTTGGGTCTCTGTGGGAGTTGAAGATTAGTTAGTTATAGTTGAAGATTAGTTAGTTATAATTGAAGATTAGTTAGGTATAGTTGAAGATTAACTAGGATAGAAAGTGAATTAGATACATTTTGGACTTACCAAAATAGGATAGATGATTGAATTATTTTCTCTGATTTGTCAAATACAAATGGACTAGACATTGTTTAGGTATTTGTTACTTGTATATATTGTATATAGTTATTGTACTTTTGTATATAGTTTTTCTTTTGTTAGCTATAACCTTTTGCCTTTTTTTCTTTTTATTAAAATAGAAAAGGGGAAATGTGGTGGTATTCTATTTGTACTGAAATGTGATTTTAATTGTATGTTAATAAATAAAGTTGCCCGGGGGTCAGAGCTATTAGAGCCATAGAAAGAGCGTGGCTGTGGTGGCACATGACTTTATTCCCATAGATCTCTGTGTGTTCAGGGATACAGCCAGCATTGGAGACACACGCCTTTAAGACCTACAGGGCTGTACTTACAGGCAGTGATGAGGCAGTCATGTGTTTGGGTTTACAACCAATGAGAAGGCAGAACAGAAAGACTATTTAAAGACATACACACAGGAAATAGGTCTCTTTCGGAGAGCTAGGACCACCGTAGGAAGGGTAAGGTTTTTGCTCTGAGCTCTGACCTCTTGGCTTTCTCTTTTACATTGGTTCTGTGTTTCTTATTTAATAAGACAGTTGGTTACATCTACAGCTGACCACTGTCACCACTCGAGAAGTTGTGGGACCTGGGAGGATGGAACAGATAAATAATACAGACTAAAGTCTCATGCAATAGCCAACTTTATTCAAAGAAAAATAACGTATTTTCTCATGAGTACTAGCTGTATACAATCACAAGGACAAGTTGAATATGGCAAAATCATATTTTCTCATAGAGGATAATTTAAATATTTAATTGAATAACAACAATAAGCAATAATGAGTAATCTGAAGTAAACTCACTCCTCTCCACTATACCTGGGAAGAGCATGAAACACACACATACCAAAAACAATTCTGTGTTTTGAATAAACTGTATTCACAAAATTCTCATCTTATTTTCTTGGAGTGTTCTCACAAGCACTCAGAATTCTTCTCACAAGACTCCATTCCTGGACCATTTTGACACACTTTGTGTCTACCTGCAGAGGAGCTGGCCCAAAACCTTGCTTGACAAGTCACTTTGACTTTATTGAGTCACTTTGAATTGAGTGTCTTTAATTGAGATTTAAAAAAACAGAGGGAAAATATGTGCAAAATTTGAAGTTGCTAGAAAGATGTTTCTCAATTTCAGACAACTTTTTATTTTCTAGATCAGCTCAACTTTAATGGCTTTCTCTAAGAAAAAATACCATGACAAGTACAAGGCCACATTTGTTTTAATTTCTCAATGCCATACATCTTCACATCACTTGATGATGTCAGTTCCTAGTCATTCTTCAGTGATTCATGTTTTATATGTTACAGACATCGTAATAGACACATTTCCATAAATAAAAGAGTACACAGGGAATCTGTAACATAGTATAGTAGGAAAGAAGGTGGCTTCAGTGTACTTCTGAGACAACTATAAATCGTCAAGGCCTGCTTTTTAAATGATCTTTGATTATTCTGACAATCACTATGTTCCCCCCTCATTATTGCTTAACTGTTTGAACTTTTTATGTATACCCAAAATAAGAGAGTATGATAAATGCAAGACTGCCATTCTATTGTAATAGAATCTCACATACAGGCCTTCTTTTTTCATTGATCATATGCTGATGTTACCCATAACAAAAACAACAAAAAAAAGTTTCTAATTATCATTTAATATGTACTATGCATGTTTTTCCCCAGAAGTCTCAAAAATATATTTTTTGGGGTTTTATCAAATCACAGTCGAAGCAGGGATCTTGGGGTGAATGTGGTCATTTCACCTCTTGAATGTCTCTTAAACTGTTTATTGATGTATATAAGATTCACTCTGTTACTGTACAGTTCCACAAGTTCTGGCACATATATAAATTTGTATGATCACCAACATAAGACAGCTGCGTCATTGCAGAAAACAAGTCCCTCTTGCTGCATCCTGGTGTTGAGTCCCCTTTAGCAGCTACTGAGCTCGTCTCTGTCCTGTAACCTTACCTGTGTCTCTGTGTCATATATTCCTGAGCATACTCTATTGTTTTGTTGCACAACTTGTTTATATACTGACCATCTGAAAAACATTTGGGTTATTTTCATTTTGTGGAGAATTACAAACTCTCACATACAGGTTTGTAGGTGAATGTTTTCTTTTTCTCTTTGGGTAAATTCTCAAGAGCAAACTTGCTGATACATAGGGTGAACACATGTTCAACATTTTTTTATAAATGACAAAATTATTTGCTAAAGTGATTATACACTTTTGCATTTCCACCCAAAAATGAACATTTTTCTAGTAGTTTTGAGTACTCGCTAAGATTTTGTATTGTCACTTTAATTGATGTGCTATTCAGGATGTTAGGATAGTTTATATGCCATTGGATTACAAGATCTGCTGAAATATTTTCCTTTGAATTTTAAATTAACAAAAAATTTAAGCTGGACTAGGTTTTGTTTTGTTTTTCATATTTATAAGCTTTCAAATATTCTATATACACATTATTTGATAGATTTACATACATTTTCTCCTATTTGGTAACTTGTCCTTTTCATTTTCTGAAGGATATCTTCCACAAAGTCAAGGACACTCATTTGGACAATCAATTCATAATGTGTATCTTTTTTATGCATCTTACCTTTGGTGTCATAGCTAAGAACACTTTGTCAGACAAGGTTATAGTGATGTGTCCTGCTCATCTAATAACAGCTTTCCATTTTTTATGTAGGTCCATGATTTTTTTGAATTGATATTTGTATAACTCCAGTGTGTTTATATGATTCCAGGTTTCCTTTTCATGTACTGATGTCTGAGTATTCTGGTACAACATGCTAGAAGGCCTTTCTCCAACCACGAAGCATCTTGGAGCCTTATAAGAAACAATTGCCTGCATTTGTGCAGCTGTGTCTCTGGAGGAGGTGTTCTGTCTATTAAGCAGACTACGCACATCGTTTCACCAGTCTGTACTGCTGCACGTCCTGTAGCTTCAGAGTAAGCCCTGGAACAGGTCAGTGGGTCTCCAACCTAGTTGTCTCTTAAAAAATTAACTAGCCCTGCTGATCTCTTTGGCATTTTGTTTGAATTTTAAGTTCATTATATGAATATGTGTAAGGAATCTTTTCCATATTTTATTTGGGATTAAATTGAATTTGGAGATAATCTATGGGAGAATTAGTATAATGTGTGATAGTATCTTCTACATTTATCTATATTTTCTTAAAATTCTTTTGTCATCACTGGACAGTTTCAATGTAAGTATGGAATGTATTTTGTTACATTATTTCTAAATATTTCATTTTTAGTATTACTATAAAACTGTTTATATTTCAATTTTTTTAGTTATTGTACCATACACATAAATAAATGAATTCATACATCAACAGTTGCAAGTGATTGTATTTATATAATAGCTGTATTGTGTGATCTGCTAAATTCAATTATTAGTTTTAGGGCTTTTAAAAATAGGTTCTACATTATTTAATTTAGAAAATCATGTTCCTTGCAGAGAGATGTAATTTTACTTTTATTTCTTCATTTCCAGTCTATTGGGCCTTTTACATATCTTGCTTTGTTTCACTGGCTTGCATTTCTTTTGCTCATGCTGTGACAGTAGTAACAGAAAATACCCACTCCATATTGTCATCTGGAGAATTGAAATTCTAGTGTGCTTTTTTTGGTGGTATCAAATTTCAATTATCAAAGACTTATCCCACATGCACAGCATTATGGTTGCTCTAGCACTCATAGCAGTGGTTTCTATGGAGATCCATCAAGAACTTTTCTCGGTATCAGTAGGAAAATCTTCTTCCCTTTTATTCACTGTGTTTCTGTGAAAACATACAGCGGATAAAAAGGGAAGAAGATCCATTATTAGAAATACAGCCTCTCATAACGGCATCACAGAATTGAGCTATATTTATGGAAAATGGGATACAGTGGTAAATACAAGCAGGTGATCACACACACGCTAGTCTTCTCCAACTCTCCTGATGGTTTGCTCTGGAGAGGCCTTTTCACAGACCATTCTGTCAGAAGAGTACATTTCAGAAGTTACTCTGTTCATATCTCAGACTGTAAATCCACATCTGTTCATAGATTCTTATCATAGGGAATTTAATTTCCTTTTTAAATATTTTATTTATTTATTTATTTATTTATTTATTTATTTATTTATTTATTTATTATATGTATGCCTGCAGACCAGAAGAGGGAGCCAGTTATCATTACAGATGGTTGTGAGCCACCATGTGGTTGCTGGGAATTGAACTCAGGACCTCTGGAAGAGCAGCCAGATGCTCTTAACTGCTGAGCCATCTCTCCAGCCCGGGAATTTAATTTCTTTTGAAAAATTACACCTTATTGTTTGAGAATGACTAGATTACTACAATTACATATATAAACACTTTGCTAAAAATCATTGGACAGGTCATCTAAAACACAGTAAATTGAACAGTATAAACTTACCAATACAATGTTATCAAATTTTGGTTAAGGTCTAACTAGCCAATTTAAGTGTATATATTGATAACATCTCAGAGTCAGCTCAGCAAGGCCCTTGGACATCAATATTGCTTTAGGCAGCAGCCCAGACCACGGACATCCTTGTGGTTTTCCATGGTAATACCAGCCAGGGGAACACAGGCCATGGGCTACTGTAGGACCATGGACTCAGATGTGACCCTCGGCAGCAGCACGCCCGGACATTCCCATGAATTCAAGTAGCAGCACAGCCTCTCCTGTCAGGCTGTTCCTCACTGCTGTCTCGCCTCAAGCTCAGCCTCTCTTCATAACAGACAAACCACTCTGCTTCCTGCTCTCCTGTCTCTCCACCGCACACTTGCTCATCCTAGTGGTGCCCTCTCGCCCGTCTCTGGCTATCTTCCAGTAAGGCAGCATGGGGACCTCTGTCTTTTCTAAAATTTAATATCTGTGGAATCCTGTATTAATTTGCCATGTTTAACTTCTTTCAGTTAGAAAAATCCTTTAGAGATTCATTTATGTTTGCTTATATGCTAATATTTGGTTTTTCAATACTATGGACACACCAGATTTTGTTAGCCTTTCATCAATAGACAGGTTTGTGTCACTTCTGATTTTTGCTATTATGAATAATTCTGCTATTATCATTTGTATTCATGTTTTGTGTAAACATATGTTTTCATTTCTCTTAGATAAAGTCTAGGTATGGCATTACGGAATCTAATTATTAAAAATACTTTCAAATTACAAGATGCTGCCATAGTTATTTGCAAACTATCTGAAGTGTTTTTGGGTTTCCAGCGGCAGTGTGTGATTTCTCCCTGCACCTGCCCAACACTTCCTACGGTAACTCTTTTTAATCCCCACTGTTTTGATGGATATACAATAGTATCTCACTAGCTTTATGTGGTTTTCAGTTACATTTCTCTGATGCCTTCTGTTGTTTATCATTTTGTCAAACGCCTATGTCCACTGGCACTTCATCTTTCATAAACTATCTTCAGTTTTTTGCCTGTTGTCTATTGGGTTATCACTCATAATTCTGGATTATAACTCTTTTACTTTGACTGCACATAAGTGTGTTCTTTGTCAAATATATGTTTTGTGGTTACTTCTGAATCACTGTCCCATTTCTCCACAATTATATCTTAAAGAAAAAGATATTTTAATCTTAAGATCATTTAAAAATGCTTTCTTATTCTTTGTGCTTTTGCTACCTGTTTAAGTACTCTTTGCTTAAATTAATAGCACAAAATCTTTCCCCAAAGCTTACTGTTGAAGTTTCATATTTTAGCCCTTATATTAATGCATATGGTCTACCTTTTAATTTACATGCATAACTTGATTAAAAAAATCAGTAATCTATTTTTCAAACATATGTATGTATGTATATATATACACATATATGTTTAAAATAGATTATTTATATATACATATACATATCCCAGTATGTCTTTTGAAAAGGTATTTTCTTCCTTGAAATTTTCTACACTTTCAAAAAAAAAAAAGTTGAGAAAAAGTTTTTACTGAAAAAAATGTTTTCATACAATCTATCTTGATCATATCCCCCCCCCCCAATTCTTCCCAGATCCTTCCAATCTTCCTACCCACACAACTTTATGATCTTTTTTCTCTATCTTCAAAAAACCCCAAACAAACAAACAAAACCAGGAAACACAAGGGAAAAAATCCCACAAAAAACAAGCCAAAAAAAATATAAGCAAAAGACAAACAAACAAAAAAAAAGTCCAACCAAAGCAAAATGGGACAAACGGTCTACAAAATACCATTGAGTTCATTTTGTATTCAACAACTACCAGGCATGGGACCTACCCTGAAGTGTGGTTAATATACCCAGTGAGATTCCACTGGAGAAAATAATTTTTTCCGTTGTGATCAGGTGTCAGTTGGAAATAGCTTCTTAGTCCGGGCTGGGAGCCCGTGCCATGTCCTCCTCTCGGTGCTACCCCATCTCAGTTGGGACCACATCTGACTTGAACCTGTGTAGGCCTTGTACATGCTGCATACTCTTTGAGTTCATATGTGTGTCAGTCCAGATGTATCTGGATAATAGTTTCCTTGGAGTCATGCATCCTTTCTGGATCATACACTATTTCTGCTTCCTCTTCCACATAGAGTCTTAAGACAAATGAAGACATCTGGGACCGAGTGCTCCAAAGTCTCTCACTCTACATATTGTCCAGTTGTGGATCTCTATGTCAGGTCACATCTACTGCAAAAGAAGCTTATCTGATGATGGCTAGATGAGGCACTGATCTATGGAAATATCAAAATGTAGTAGTCATTTTATTGCCGTATTCCTTTGGCAGAATAATAGTATTTGGTTTTCCCAAATACCCGTGCTATATCTAGTCTCAGACTCTGGACCACTTCAGTGATGTCAAGTATGGTTTCATCTCATAGAGTGGGCCTTCAGTTCATCAGAAAATGGTCAGTTATGTCCACAACATTTGTGCCACTATTGCACCAGTAAATCTTGCAGGCAGGTCACTGTCATAGGTCTCAGGTTGTGCTTGTGTTACACACCTTCTAGTACCATGAACTCTAGGCAGTAAGCTTCTAATTGGGCTCCAGCTACTTCTCTGTGTTTGAAGAGATAAGTAAGTGCCGTCTTCAGCAATAGGACATTACCATAAGGTTGAGAGAGTAACCAATGCTTTTTCACTGGCCTGTGATGTTTGGGTTATCTATCACACCACTCTATCCAGTGATTCAAGAAGATGTACTCATTTCTGACACTAGAGGTTTTATTTGGTGGTATAATATGTCTAGTTGTTTCCCCCATTATTTGTGACTCCATTTAGATTACTTTCATATATATATATATATTTATTTTAGGAAGCTTCTACAATAGTAAGTTTCAATATGCTTTTTCAAATGACCTCTAGCATTAGTTGTGGCTCAATCATTGAAAGCTACGCTCATAACCAAAACAGCAAGAAAACATATTTAAGAATAAATTTAATTATGGCACTTAAGATCTACACACTGAAAACTGAGTCCTTTACAAAGAAAAAAACATTGAAGACCTAAATTATTGGAAATGTGTAGCATTTTCATGGATTAAAGAGTCAGCGTTGATCTGAGGTCAAGCCTTCTCAAATGTGATTAGCAGTCAATGGAACTCCATATAAAGTATTATCAGGCTGCTTTTGAAGAGATTAGCAATTTATGCTAAACTTACATAGATGGGAAAAGACCTCAAATTACCAAAAGAATTTCAGGACAAAGAACTCCAACTAGGGCCACATCTATTTCTTGTTTATCTGTGCCTACAGTACACATCATTCAAATCTTAATTACAAGCCTTTAAATCAGTTAATATAAATCCTTGAAAATTGTTCTTTTTTATTTTTTTTATCCCTGAAACTGTCTTGTCTGGCACCACAGGACAGAACACCCAAAGAGGTATGAGCCTGTCGGCACTGCTATAATTTGGATCTGGAGTGTTCTTCAAAGATTCATATGTTAAAGCACAATTCTTTAGGAAGACACTATTAGAAGAAA